TGTCATTGCTTTGTTTTTTTTTTGTTTTTTTTTTAAGATATGAGAGGATAAATTAAGAGCGCTGACCTTCGCAATACATAGATTTTAAAGCAAGCCTCTCTGACTAATCACTTCTCCCCACACCCTTTTTTTTTTTTTCCTCATCACATGTAATGTTAGTCTAAAATGCTGATTAAGGTCAAAACAAGTTTATGCCAGTTAAAAACAGACATATGGAAAGTTCCAGCGCTGAGCTCCATAAGGTATGAGGGAGGAATTTATAGCCTTGCAATGCTCCCAGTGCTTCTCTTTAATTAACTACTCTAAGCATCCTAAAATTCTCAACAACAATCTGCCTGACAACAGGGAACCCTCTAAATCTGTATTTAGTAGTAATCACTCTGCCCCAACAGTACTCCAGATAGATGTGTGTATCAGGTGTTTTGTGACCTCCCAGCAAACTGTTACGCTTCTTCGTTCTACACTGTAAACGTGAAAAATAAGGCAATTCTTTTATTTTACTCTTACTTAAAAACAGTGGTATGATTCTTAAATTAAGCTTTACTAACTTTGCTTGTAAAAACATGTTTGTCTCTTCGTTTTAAAGAAATAGCCAAAAAGACAGCATTCCACAATGGTTTTAAGCATGTAACCATTGTTCTATTTATACAATTTTCATTTGCTTCAGCTGGGGGACACTTAGCTGTCCTCTGGAGGAAAGAAAAGAGACTAACAAGTTTGTCAGTATTTACTCTTTTGGAAAAGTAGGTCCCCAAGATCTGTATACTAGTGGTGATCTAAAAACAAAAAAAAGGGTACTATTTTTATTCCTTGCCTGTGCAACAGAAGAGCTATCATCTCAGTAGTTCTTGTAGCCACAGAATGACGCAGGGAGCCCATGCTTATTAGGTTACCTGCTACCTGTTAGAACCCTAAGGTTGTCTGAGTTACTGCTATCCAGGGTACTCCATCCTGTAAGTATGTCCACCCATATTTGTTCATAGATATAAGAGCTCACATTTCGCTTTCTTTGCATCTATTTTTTAATTGGCTATACATGACCTGTTCATGGTATGGTTAAATTCTCCTCCACTTGTTATCAGCAAACTTTATCAATATTTATATACTTTTCTTCTTTGTCACTGTTGAAAACATGAAACACTATTGACCACAGATTCCTCTTTTCTTAATAATCATTCATTTTTAATTCATTGTTTGCCTGTTTTTTTTTTTGTACTAAATATTAATTAAAATCAAGAACAGGTGTTCGTCAAAGATCTTTCAATGCAATTTATTATGTTTGTACCTCCTGCCTTCATCAACAAAACTTGTCATTTCATAAAATAAGAAGATGAAATAAATCTGTTGTAATCTTTATGCTTTTTCCCAAGCTGCAATACAATTAGGAGATATGTATTCCCTGTAAACATTTAGAAATCTGCCTCTTTATGTTCTTAGAATTCTGCTGAAGACTCTCGTGTAATAACTATATAAATATGGTAATATTTATACATTAGGTTACATACCATACATAACGTATGTTATGGTAATAACGTAGTGTTGTGCAGTTGTCATTTATTTTTATAATGACTAGTGCACACAGACTATGGTGTAGCATGGTATGGTTATGTCCAAATAGGCTGGCCTGGGGCCTTAACGATATCACAGAACTTAGGGGAAGCTGTAGCATCTGCTGGCATTCAGGGTAAATATTTTTGTGGTTAATTTATACTCATCTTTGTGCTGGTACATTCTCCATTTTCAAACTAGCAATTTTACAGCTATGTTGAGTATGTTTCCAGAGATCATATTAAAGATGTGTCTGTAGGGTGTAAGGTTTTGAGGAAAGGCTATGGAAAAGTACAGAGAATTGAAGCTCCTGAAAGTTGAAATCCTAATGTATGGTTCCTACAGTGATGCTCTGAATAATGGCATATTTGCTTCCATGAAATAATGTTACTGTCTTTGGTGTCAGGTTTCAATTTTTCACTGCCAGAGGTTGATCAAACCTCTCTCGTGGAAAAAATACCTGGAAAAAATATGGAGGTTTAGGTGTGTTGCCTTTCCACTTCACTGGGTAAGCCAATGGTTTTGTTTAAAGAAAGGGGTAATAAAACAGTGTCTGAGTTATATTCTACAGTGCTTTAAAATCTTCGTCGTATTAGCCTATCCTTATTTTCTTTTGAAGTTAAGTTGCCAGTCATCCCTTCCCCCCCTTATTTTTTTATCTCTGTCCTTGACCCTAGTGTTAGACCTTTGAACCTCTCGTATATGTTATCTTTTTTTGACACTGGTCAGAATGGGACAGCCTCTGATGAGGATGTTTCATTGTTTTGC